CATTTTAGGTGTTGCTGTAGGAATTACGGAATGCATTCGTAATTTTTCATAATCTTCCAAAGATGAATATTAACAGCAGTTGATGTGTTTCCCATGTAATGTAACACCATTATATTTCCACATACTTCTTTTATCCTTTGTGCTTTTATTGTTATAAGCTTTGCCACTACATGCATTGCAGTTACTGAATGAGATGGTGTTTCAAAAGTCAATTCTTCAAAGAAATTGAGGAGAAAAACTTTGACTATATGTAACTGTATTTACGATGCATGCGTTTTTAATTCCTCCATGAAGATCAAGGTTCCTGTCTGGTTTCCCGTTTCCCTCACACACCTGCTCTGCACTCCCGAGGCGCCCTGAGGCTCTGGTACGTGTGTAGCGCAGGATCCCGCCAGAGCTCCAAAGGGGACACTGCTGACCGAGGGGCGCCACTTCTGTGAAGCTGCTGTCTTCTGTTCACCCTGCCTCGTAGTGTCTAGGCAACTCCTAGTCTGAGCTCAGCGAGAGTGCAGGTCCGTGAGCTTGAGTCCCCTGTGCTGGGAACCGGAAGGCTCCCTCAGACAGAACACGGGGCAACCGTCTGACCTGCTTTTCTTTTCTCACTGCTCAGGTTCCTGTACGGCCCTTTGCGTAGTGTCTCATAATAGTTACTTCCTGTATTCTTGTCCATATATGTAGTTGTTTGTGTTGGAGGGATCAGGCTTGGATAATTATTTCACTGTCAAAGACTGAAAATTAATTTTTTGTTTATGTGAGGGGAAGGGTGACACTGGGAATGAAGTAGAGAATTCCCATCCATGTGTTCATTCTTTGAATGCCTGTAATTGTGGGGTCTGGGCTAGGACAAGGCCTGGAGATGGCATCTCATTCCAGGTCTGCCATGTGCTGGCAGGGACCCAGCAACCTGAAAAATGACCTGCTGCCTCCCGGCAGGAAGCTGGACTCCAGAGCTGGGCCAGGTGCTGCGGGTCGCTGGACCACGGGCATGCTGCCTTCTGTGTGCTTTTAAAAGGCGATTCCCTCCCTTGTGTTTTGCAATTAGATGTGATTTTACATTTTTGGTTGTAAAATTCTTGAAATGAGCGTATTACGCAAATACTCAGTACGTGAGTGTGTGGGCATTAGTAAGATTGTGATAGTGTGTTTATGTTTTGTTTTGCTTTTTTTAAAGCTGGTCAGTAATTAAAACTGAATACCACTTTATTTTAAAAAGGGTTTAAGATCATATCTTTATCAACCTTTGTCAGATAGCCTTATGATAGAAGTAATTAGCATTGCATGCATGTTGGACTGAAGCAGTCTAAAATCAACCGGTTTTGATAAGGAGATGAATCTAATATTAGGACCACTTTGAGGAACGGATCATTTGGAACAAAGTTGTTTTGTCACTGGTGCTCATTTTTCATAATGTCATGTATACTTTGGTGATTCTTGATGAGAAATTAAATGGCTTTTTGTAGTGACCATTAATATTCTAGTTTGTCATTAAGTAGCTGTGTGACAGTGAGTTATTAATCTGAGTTAGAATGGTGAATTTCAAGATTTAAAGGATATCAACATCTGGGTAATGCAGTAGGAAGTGGTATAGACTGACATTTGGTTAGTACTGATGAACTGTTGAAAGTTCAGGCAGTTAAGTCAGAGCATCTAGAAAATTTAAGCTGGGAGGGAGGTTTTTAAGGATATGTGGAATATTCCTTGGCAATATTTAATAGTAAAATGGAATGGCTTGTTGTGAAGGTTCTAGCTTACTTTTTACTTATTACTTGGTGAAATTTATTATTTTTTTTCTGTTACTTTGAGCATAATTCTTCAGTAACTTGATTATACAATCATTAATTTCACTGAACATCAACTTTTCATGGGGGGAAAAGCTAAAATCAGTAGTTTCTAAAGAAATAAATTAGTTTTCGTGTCTTTAGCTTAAGAATTTGGCAATTTTTCATACATAAATGTTGCTCAGAATTTTATTTTAATAACCTTTGTGTATTAGTCTTTTAAAAATTCAAAATTTATATTAAGTTCAGGAAAGAAAGTGTACTCTATAGTGTTTGAAGAAAAGAGCCTCTCTGCCACCGTGTGGTGGACCAGAAGGCCAGTTACTCCTTCCTGTGGTGCTGGCATCCCATCTGGACGCAGTTCTCGTCCTGGCTGCTCCACATCCTGTCCTGCTCTGCTTATGGCCTGACAGCAACGGAGGATGATCAAGTGTTTGGGCCCCTGCAGCTGCATGGGAGACCCACAGGGGGCTACTGGCTCCTAGCTTTGGATTGACTGAGCCTGTAGGGAGTAAACCAGCAGCTGTCTCTAAATCTGCCCTTCAAATAAAATTCAATCAATCTTTTTTTTTTTTTTTTTTTTTTTTTTGTAAGAGCATGTTCTGTAAACTTTCTGGCATCCACTTTTGGTTTGGTGATTCTGGGGAAGCTAGCTCTTTTAAGTGCCGGTTTCAGCCTCTGTGAAGTGGGGATAACAGTAGTATGCTTTTGATGTATTGAGTGATTTGAGGTTTGGATGAGTACTGAAAACAAGGTGCCTGGCCAGGACACTGTCTGGCATCCACTGTAAGTGTTGCTATAGATGATTACAAACTACTTTGCTGAATGACAGCTTATTTTGTATCAGGAGAGCAAACTTGAAATGTAAAGATGAATTGACACGATGGTGCTTCTGCATAAACACACTGTTGAGATAAAACACAAGGACTTGGGAATTAGGCTGATTTGAACCCTGGCACTCTGACAACGTAGGGCAAATAGTTTATTCTTTGGAACAGTTTGAGGTATATCATTACTCCTTAACTCCCCTTTTCTGTAAGTTGTAGGCACAAAGGGACTGACTTGTGACTTTGTTAGGACTACACAGTCGTGAGTGATTGATGGGTCTCTAAATGCAGGCAAGTCAACTCCACGATCAGTGATTGCCTCAGTAGGACCTGGTGACCTCTGCTGTCACTGAAGGACCTGAATGGTGAAGGTGATTTCAGACACAAATAGGAGGGAGCTGAATTGGCACAGGATAGCTGGAACTCAGACTGGTCCTCCAGCATGGTATGGCAGAGTTGCAAACCGTGGCTCAACCCCCTGTACCACATGCCACCTGCAAGTCATCTTTAGAACATTTGTACATGGAGGTATAGGCATTAGCTAAATCTCTACCTTATTGTCCTACTGGTTAAGATGAATGGCCCATCCTACTTACTGTTCTAGGTTATGGGAGGCTTTTGAAAAGTAGAGTGACAGAAAGACTGACGGAGAGAAATCTTGTGTCTGCTAGCTCATACGTTAAATAGCCACAATGACTGGTGCTGGGCCAGACTGCAGCCCAGTAACCAGGAACTCCATGTGGGTCTACCATTTGGCAGGAACTCAAGCACCTGAGCTGACATTTGCTGCTTCCCAGACACCTCAGCAGGGAGCTGGATTGAAAGTAGAGCAGCTAAAACTTGAACTGGTACCCAATAGGATGCCAGTATTGGCAGGCAGTCGCCCAACTGGCTGTGCCACCATGTCTGCCCCTTTATTGCGTCTTCTCTGCTAATAGAGTCCTTTCTTGTCAAACCTTGGGTTATTTTAATATGTTTTGTCTTTAGAGTAAACCACAGAAGAACTTTAAGTTAGGATCTTCCAGCTGCAGGAACAAAATGACAGTCCACAGTGTGTGTGTGTATTACAGTACATTCTTGGGCTGCCCTAACAACATCAGACTGAATGGTTTCACTAGCGGAAATTAATTTTCTTGATGTTCTGGATACTGGAAAGTTAGTTTTCATCCTTTTTATTTAGTGGGTTTTGTTTTTATTTACTTGATGAGTAAAGATACAAACACTTGCTCTCTTCCCAGATGACTACAGCAGCCCTTGGCTGAGACTCATAGCTGTGAACTCAGGCTCCGTCTCTGGGCCATCTAGGTGGGAGGAACCCAATGAAATCAGTCGCGCTCTGTTCCCAGGAGCTGCCTTAGCGGGAAGCTGGGGTCAGGTGCTGGAGCTGGGTGAGGCACTACCTCCCTGCGAGGCTGTGGGCCTGCTTTGTGGATAGCCTCGTTCTTCTTTATGCTCACGTGACCCCCTGTGGGTGGTGAGAGAAGGAAGAGAGAGAGCTTTCTGGTCTCTTCTTGCAAGGGCACTACTTGATATTAGACAAGGTCCCCTCCTTCAGGACCTCACCTAACTGAAGCTGTCTCTGCAGATACCACCACCCTAACTGTGTGATTTATGTTGGGAGTGGGCCTGGAGGACTCAAACACATCAAAAGTAAACTCTGAGGTTTAATTCCTGAGTCTTTTGAGTTCTTTGTTACTTAGATTTTGGAGAGGGAGACAGTTAAAAGAGAGAACTCAACATGGCCATTTGGAGTAGATTTGCAAAGAGTGAAATGAATTTTTGCCTGTAAAACACTTACATAAAAGAAGTAACACGTATCTTCCTAAGGATAAGTAGTATTTTCTTTGTATTTTTGACCTTCTTTGGCACTGGAATAAGGATGCATTAGGATTAGTGTCTTTGAAGAACAGTGCACAACGATCATTAAGTAACTTTTTCTATGTACAATCTAGAATGTAAGAGAAGATGCGTAATTTTGTTTAAGTGGCCTCCTAAATTGAACATATGCGAGCAACAGAAGATCAAACAATATTAGGTACTAGTTATATTCAAATTCATCTTTGGGACTTGAATAAGACATGACAACTTAACCTGTCTGAAAATGTTAGTAAACACTTTAGATACAATCTATTAAATGGGAAGAGTAAGTTAAAGCTGCTTTGGTTTGTGAAGTTTCTTTTGCCTCTTAAAAAAAATATTCTGTGGGTATCTTTTAATCAGCTTTATAACATATATGATGGTTTATCCAAATTAGTGATGCTAGTTTTTCTAACTTCCTTTCTATTTTGGCCTTTTTTCTGAAGTTTTTTTGTGAACCCATTACAAACTGAGCCCTTGCTTGTTCCTTTCCTCTGGTCTCTGTCTCTGCTGAGGTTGTATTCGGTTTGTTTTTCAGATGAGGCCCTCTTTGCTCTCCCTGCTGCATCTGAGCCTGCGATACACTCCTCCGCAGGCAAGTTCTTCCCGCCAGCCTTTTCACTCTGTGTTAACTCTGCGTGGAGTAGTTGAACCTTAACTAAAATTTAGCATGGTTCCAAGAATTTTTGTATAACAAAAAAAAAATTGAAATTGCATACTGCAGGCAATAGCCAAGTGTTCAGAAATGGACAGAACTGATGAATAATGAGAAAGAAATAAGGAATTCTTGGATCCTTGTTCTGCATAGATACAGTGATCGTTTGTTTTTTCTCAGTAGTTGATCTTTGTATAGCCAAAGGCTTTCATGTAAGTGAACCAATCTATGGCATTTAATTAAGCAATGCCTCAGCTTTTAAATATTCTTCTCAAATCTTCTCTTCCTTAAATCTAGTTAAAAGCAGCATTTCTCAATTGATAACATTTGAGTTTTTTCTTAAGGCTTCTGTAATATTTGTAGCATGTAATTGCATTTTTAAACTTAGTTTCTATAAGAAATAGTGCTTGTATGTATAGAATACAATGTGAAGGTACTTCAGGAAGTTCATGGAATATGGAATTTATGTATTTTGGTGCAAACAGTGTTGAAATTTATGCATATGAGGGGGTCTTCATAAAGCTGATCAGAAATGTACATTAGGAAAAACTTATATCTTTTATAGATACTTAAATTTATTTGAAAGGCAGAATGACAGAGATATCCTCTATGTGGTTACTTATTCCTCAAATAGCTGTGACAGTTGGGGCTTAACCGGGTCAAAGCCAGGAGCCTGGAATACTGTCTAGATATCTCACATGGGTAGCAGGGCCCAAGTACTTGGTCATCTTCCCAGGTGTAAGCAGGGAGTTTTATTGGAAGGAGAGTAGCCAGGATTTGGCTGGCACCATAAGGAATGCTGGTATGCTTGCAAAGCAAGTGGCAACTCAACCTGCCATGCCACAATACTGGCCCTGTACATGAATTTCAACTTTGTTTTTGCACCAGAATAATTTGTTAGTTCCATTTTCTGTGATCTTGAAGTATGCATGCCAAGTACATTGTAGAATGTTTAAATCAGGCTAATTAATATATTCATCACCTCAAATATTCGTCATTGAATTGTGAGGTTATGTAAAAATCTTTTGATATTTGGAAATATGCAATACATTATTCTAAACCACAGTGCTATGCAATATAGCATTCACATATCTTATTGACATTAGCTTAATGTTTCAGTAATGATTCAAGTCCTCTTGTTTTTAAAATGCTGCTAACATTTCATTTTAGTGTTAAGTCTTTACTAACACTATTTGATGAATCTGTCATAAAACTTGCATTAACTCTGAGAACACTAGCATTCTCTAACTTTCCTTTCTGTCCATGATCACAGAAAAAAATATGGATTTGAAGGAGCAGCCAGGTAACACTGTTGCGGCTGGTCAAGAGGATTTCCCATCTGTCCTGCTTGAAACTACTGCCTCTCTTCCTTCTCTGTCTCCTCTCTCAGCTGCTTCTTTCAAAGAACATGAATACCTTGGTAATTTACCAACAGTACTGTCCATGAAAGGAACACTTCAAGAAACCTTAAATGCAACTTCTACAGAGTTCTCGGAGCAAGCAAAAAATCCATTTGTAGACAGAGATTTAACAGGGTCTCCAGAATTAGAATATTCAGAAATGGGATCAAAATTTAGTAGCTCTCCTACAGCAGAACCTGCCATAACAGTAGCAAACCCTAGGGAAGAAGTAGTTGTAAAAAATAAGGATGAAGAAGAGGATTTAGTTAGTAAGAACATCCTTCATAATCAACAAGGATTACCTATGACTCTTACAAAGTTGGTGGAAGAAGACCAAGTTATGTTTCCACAGAAAGTGAAGAGCAGTTTTAATGAGAAGGAAATTGCAGGAGAAGCTCCTATGAGGGAGGAATATGCAGACTTCAAGCCATTTGAACGAGTATGGGAAATGAAAGATGTTTATAAAGAAGATAGTGGTGTGTTGGCTGCCGGGGGTAGTATAGAGAGCAAATTGGAAAGTGAATTGGATGAGAAGTATTTTGCAGATAACCTGGAGCAAGCAAACCCTGAAAAGGATAGTGAAAGCAGTAATGATGACGCCTCTTTCCCCAGTACACCAGAGGCTGTGAAAGATGGTTCAGGAGCATATATCACATGTGCACCCTTTAATCCAGAGGGCATTGCAACCAAAAACATCTTCCCTGTGTTAGAAGATCACACATCAGAAAATAAGACAGACGAAAAGAAAATAGAAGAGAAGAAAGCTCAAATTGTAACAGAGAAGAATATTAGCACCACAACATTAAACCCTTTTCTTGCAGCAGCACAGGGTTCTCAAACAGATTATGTCACAACAGATAATTTATCAGAGGTGACTGGGGAAGTAGTGGCGAACATGCCAGAAGGTCTGACCCCGGATTTAGTACAGGAAGCCTGTGAAAGTGAGTTGAATGAAGCTGCAGGTGCGAAGATTGCTTATGAGACAAAAGTGGACTTGGTGCAGACCTCAGAAGCTATGCAGGAATCACTCTACCCCGTGGCTCAGCTTTGCCCGTCATTTGAAGAATCGGAAGCTACTCCATCACCGGTTTTGCCAGACATTGTTATGGAAGCACCACTCAATTCTGTAGTTCCTACTGCTGGTGCTTGTGCAGGGCAGCCCTGTTCATCACCATTAGAAGCTCCTCCTTCAGTTAGTTATGAAAGCGAAAAACTCAAGTCTGAAAATCCACCACCATATGAAGAGGCAATGAATGTAAAACAAGTATCAGGAATAAAGGGAGAAATGCAACAGCCTGAAAGTACTAATGCAGTTGTTCAAGAAACAGAAGCTCCTTATATATCCATTGCATGTGATTTAATTAAAGAAACAAAACTGTCCACTGACCCAAGCCCAGATTTCTCTACTTATTCAGAAATAGCAAAAGTGGAAGAGCCAGTGCCCGAGCATTCTGAGCTAGTTGAGGATTCCTCACCTGATTCTGAGCCAGTTGACTTATTTAGTGATGATTCAATACCTGAGGTTCCACAAAGGCAAGAAGAGGCTGTGATTCTTACGAAAGAGAATCTCACTGAAGCTTCCTATGAGTCAGTGTTAGAACATGAAAGTAAGGAAAAACTCATTACTTTACCAGCGGAGGGAGGAAAGCCGTATTTGGAATCTTTTCAGTCCAGCTTAACCACCACGAAAGATACGCCATTACCTGACGAAGTTTCGACATTGACCAAAAAGGAGAAAATTTCTTTGCAGATGGAGGATCTCAACACTGCAGATTATACAAACGATGACTTATTTGTTTGTAAGGAAGCCAAAATAAGAGAAAGTGAAACATTTTCAGATTCATCTCCAATTGAGATTATAGATGAATTCCCTACACTTGTGGGTTCTAAAACTGATTATTCGAAATTTGCCAGGGAGTGCACTGACCTGGCAGTGTCCCACCAAAGTGAAGATCTAAAGGCACAGGGTGGAGCTGGGTCATTGCCCTGCTCAGCAATGCTTCCAGAGCTCTCTAACAAGGAGGTACAGCCTAAAGATGAAGAGCAAATCTCAGATGAATTCTCCAGAGATAGAGCTGACACAGGGAAGGTGCCCTTACTTCCTCCAGATGTTTCTGCTTTGGACACTCACACAGAGCCCAAACAGATAGACAGCACAGTTAAACCCAAAGTTCTTGTGAAAGAAGCTGAGAAAAAACTTCCTTCTGACACAAAGAAAGAGGACAGATCACCATCTGCTATATTTTCAGCAGAGCTGAGTAAAACTTCAGGTAATCGATCCATGTGTTATTTTGACTTTAGTTAACAACTGAACTTTCTGCACTTTGTCCTGTGCTTTTTGAGTGTCTAATATATCATGTTGGGAATCCTTTCTCACTGTCTCAGTTGACGATTTGAGCACTTTTTCTATTCGTCTTGCACTGCTCACCCTTGCTGTGAACTTCTCCACGTGGGTATTCAGTTTTATATTGCACCACAGCACTAGAAAACACATCTTAAAGTTGGTTTCAATATCATTTTTTTTGTGTGTGTGAGTGCTTGAAGAGCAAGAGACACAAAAGCAAAAGATATTTTTGTGATGCTAGAAATTATTTAGTTTTCAAGGAAAAAACATTTTCTGTGGCGTGTTTTAATTATTTCAGTATAGCACGGTATTATTCCACTGATAAGATAAAGTTAGGCATATGGAGTGTAGCTTTTTTTAGAAAAGTGGAAATTGAAGTACTTGATTATGAATTATTCTGAAAAGCTGTATAGTTCTTATTCTCTGTTTTTTTCACTTGGCTGTATTTATATGACTTGTTTAAAGTGATTTGAACACCTGTTTTCATTTACCTTTCCAATTTAACTGTTTTCTATAAAACAAGTAGTGTGTAGGGTATATTAACTGGATATATTTATATATTGAAGGAAAGGTAACATTGCAACAGAGAAGTCAGAGCAGAAATTGTTGTAATCCAGGACTAAGCAGGTTTTGCATACTGAGGCAGTGGGGTGAGTGTGGAGATAGAACACTTTGTTTTGGGAGGAATATGGATATGAAGGATAAGGAATAATTACAGATGACTTCAGGGGTTCTGGTTTCCTGGCAGGTGCAAATGTATAGATAGCAGTATCAGAAAAATGACATCAGTGGCATGAGAAAGAGGAGTTATAGGAAGATGAATCCCATTTTGAGTATGTTAGTATTCAGATGCCTATGAGGTACCCAAGAAGCCACGGATAGTCTGTTTGTTAAGTTATGGATGTCACAGAAGACTTCGGCTACGCTCAATGTGTATTTGTCATGATTTTGATACAGAAATTAAAAACTTTTAGATATAAAAGAGGGAGAACCAAGAGAAAAGAAAGATTTAGAGGGCAAACATTATCTCATGCTTCAGAGGTCAGTGAGATTAAACCTTTAAAATTTGTGAAAAAGGAACAAGAGTTTTGGCATGGTAACAGTAGGTGGTGTAAGTAGCCAGGGCTAGCATTGACCATTGAATGTGACAAGCATACGTTGGCTGCTCTTAAGTTTGTGATGGTAGGGACTGACAAGGTGTCTCAACAGGCTAATCCTCCTCCCACAAGCGCTGGCACCCCTACAGACACTGGTTTGTATCCTGGTGGATCCACTTGCCATCCAGCTCCCTGTGTATGGCCTGGGAAAGCAGTGGAGAATGGTTCAAAGCCGTGGGAGACCCGGAAGAAGCTTCTGGCTCTTGATATCAGATCAGCTTAACTGCGGCCATTGTGGCCATTTGGGGCATGAACCAGATGATGCGAATATCTTTCTCCTTCTCTCTGTAAATCTGCCTTTCAAATAAAAATAAGTCTTTAGAAATTTGAGATGATAAAAATGATATTAGGCAAGAACAGAAGAGTGGGTGGGGAGAGATGTTTTATGATGTGGGGGAATTATGATAATAGACGCTAGTAGAGAGGGGATGAGATGCTAAGTTCGGTTGGGGGCATTTGCTTTAGAAAATAGAAGGGATAATACTTTGCTTGTGGTATAGTATAGATGTTGCAGGTAGGACTTTGTGGCTGCAAGTTAAAGGGATTGTTTCATGGTTAATGTTTATTCCTTAAAGCAGAATGTTGTGTGTGAACTTACTGTAAAAGAACTTAGGTAAAGACTTCAACAATTATGCCTCACAGGTATATACATACTTCTCTTTTTAAAATTATTATTTATTTATTTGAGAGGCAAAGACAGAGCTCCCATCTGCTGGCTCACTCCCCATATAGCTACAGCATCCTTAAGCGAGCCAGGACTTGGAGCTGAGAGTCGGGAACAGTTCCATTTGGGCTGGCCGCCCTGTGGCAGGAGTACAGTCACGTGAGCATCACTGTCACCTTGCAGGGACGGGAGCTGGAGCCCGCTGCTGAGCCCAGGCGTTCTGCTTGGACCTCGGTGGACCAAACTGCATTTGAACTCTTAGGTCAGAATGTCTGTCCCTGTTACACCTTTTACATGTGTCCACGAATAAGAGCTTTCTTTTGATGTTTGCATTACATAAACTCGATTTTATTGTATGATCGCTGGGTTTTCTCACCAAAGCTGAGGTTCAACATTTTTCTTAAAATAAGTTCAGTAAGAAAATGTATTTATTTTTATTAGAAAGGCAGATTTACAGAGAGAAGAAGAGACAGAAAGATATTCCATCTCCTAGTTCACGCCCCAAGTGGCTACAACCACTGGAGAAGAGCTGATCTGAAGCCAGGAGCCAGGGGCTTCTTCTGGGTCCCCCACATAGGCACATGGTCCTAAGGCTTTGGCCATCCTTACTGTTTTCCTAGGCTACAAGCAGGGAGCTGGATGGGAAGGAGAGCAGGCAGGACATGAAACATTTGGGATCCCAAGGCTTGTGAGGCAGAGGATTAGCCAATTGAGCCAATGTGTGGGGCCTTGAACGATGTTGTAATTTGTTTGAGCTTCGGTAATTTTAGTGCAAGAATTCCTTTTGGGGGACAGTGGGAGGCAGTGCAGTGGCTCGACTGGCTAATCCTCCACCAGGAAGTGCTGGCATGTCATACCCATGTTGGTTCATATTTTGGCTACTCCATTCCCTTCCAACCCTGCTTGTGACCTGGGAAAGCAGTGAAGGATGGTACAAAACCTTGGGACCCTGCACCCACAAGGGAGACAGAAGAGGCGCTTGCCTTTTCAGATTGTTTCTAATTTTTAAATTTAATTACTGTTCCTGCTAACTTGTATTTAAATATATTTTATTCATCTTAAGTATTCTTTCCCTAAATTACTGGAAGTAAAAAGAAATGGTAAAATAGATTTGAGCATTTTTGAGTTTTTTGCAGAAAATTTATATCCCTGTTTTCAAATTACAATTTCTGTGTTCTCAGCAGTTGTTACTCATTTTTGGGTAGGTAATATTCAAAGATTCAAGATTCCTGTCTCCGTTGCCTAGACCTTAAGCAGAGCCTCTGACGTCATTCCCGTCCTCTACTCCTTTACGATTTCATTGACTTATTCATGTGTATGGCATAGTTAGCATCTGCTGGGTCACTCCCCAGGGTTAGGCCAGAGCCAAGGGCCTCTGTGGAGTCTCCCATGCGGGTACAGGGACCTGAGTACTGGGGCCGGCCTCTGCTGCTTTCCAGGGGTATCAGTGGGTCCTAGGGCAGAAGTAGAGCTGACACCATATGTGATGCTGGCAGTACAGGCAATGGCTTAACCTGTAACAGTGCTGGCTCCCTATGAATTGTTTCCTGTGCATTCAGACTTCGTATTTTAAAGTGTATAAACTTGTACCAGTTTGGTAGTTGAAGGTAATATTTTGCTCTTTTGACATTTGGCGTGGTTCCTAGTGATTATGCATATGTTGCATGCCCTTGTTGACCATTTGTTCCTTGTGTGAGTTGCTTGTTCATCCCCTTTCCTTTACTTATGTTCATTTAAAAATTTTTTTAAAAGGTGTATTTATTTTTATTGCAAAGTCAGATATACAGAAAGGAGGAGAGACAGAGAGGAAGATCTTCCATCCAATGGTTCACTCTGCAAGTGGCCACAATGGCTGGAACTTAGCCCATCCAAAGCCAAGAGTCTTTTTCTGGGTCTCCCGCATGGGTACAGGGTCCCAAGGCTCTGGGCTGTTCTCAGCTGCTTTCCCAGGCCACAAGCAGGGAGCTGGATGGGAAGCGGGGCTGCTGGGATTAGAACCGGCGCCCGTATGGGATCCCGGTGTGTTCAAGGAGAGGACTTCAGCCGCTATGCTATCGAGCCAGGCCCCACTTGTTAAGTTACAGGTTTACTTAAGCTTTCTGGTTTTATTTTAAGTTACATCTTAGTAGACGTTTCGATTTCCACAAAGGTATATCCATGCCTTTTTGTCTGTTTTTCATTTTTACTTAATGTTGATTTAAAAGTTGATTTTGAATTTTGGTCAGAAATCTTGTTATCTCTCAGGCCTTTTTGAAGTAGGAGTGTTTTTCCTAGAACTGTGGTATTTTGGTTAGTTTCCTATTCTGGAATAGCCAGAAAATTGAGAGCTAGCCGTCTTCACTAGATTGCAGGTATGGAATGGGGAAATCAAGTGTAGACTAGGGAGTTGGTGCCATCTAGTGTTGATAATGGAAAACTAGATCTTTGGAAGGCATTGTAATTGTCCATATGGAAAACATTTACAGAGGAAGTCAGTGGTCTGTGGGTATCTGATCTGACAAATCGCTAAAAAACAATTAATAAACAAATTTCAATTTTAACAGCACAGAAATAGATAAATGCTTGAATAAATAACATGAAATGACTTTATAAATTCCCCCATACCTGCGTGCTTTAATGAAAACTTAAGATTTAAAATATTTGTTCAGAGCTTAATGGACTGTCATTTTTGAGTTTTGAATTTAGATGTGCTTTAATTCTTTAGGGATAACTATTTAAAAATAACAAGTCACGATTTATTTAGTTCTCAGTGAGTGCTTTCACTTCAGATTTTTTGGTGGACTTTAGTATTCATTTTTAGTAGCTTATGTGAAGTTGTTTATAAATGCTCACTTTTTGCCAATTTTAACTTGTTTTATATTCGACGAAAATACCTCATTTTATTGATTCACTTCTGCAGTTAATGTTGAAGTACTATAGTGGAGTCCATAGAGGGCATTATATTACAACATTTGTTAAGGTTTTTCAGTAATGAAACTTGTTAAACTAAAGCTCGGAAAAACCATATTTTGAAATAAGTTTAAAACTATTCTGTAGCTTCAGTTTTTGTCTTGCTAAAGAAAAGATTCCTGTTCTCTGTGGGCAGGAAATAAATATTCTAGCTAT